TCCATTAAAACCAATACACCGCCGCCGCACGCATCCCTTAGTGATGGCTCTTGAGAAAGGTGAATAACTAACACACCAATCGCTCCTTTGCTGCATAAAGCGAGAATGAAGAAAATCTTCCATTCATTGCAGCAAAACCACATCAATCACACTAAAGACTGCACAAAGTGGGCAGTCGAGGCAAAGGTGTGCCAAATACAGCGCATCGCGAGCCGATCCACGCCAAATCCTCACCTGTTGCCACACCCGTGAAGTACCGCTATCACCCACACCACCTCTGTTACCACTACAAATGTCACCCACCTCATACCACAGTAGGGAAGGAGGAATGATCACAAATAGGCAAGTCCACACATTACGATACATGTAAATCCAAGAGTGAAAATAAGCGTCAACAAAGCATCAATCAACCGCAAACGACGTCTCTGCAGCCGACTGGACCTGACGGCGTCACGCAGAGGACTACAACTTTATGCCACCAAACAAATCACCTCACTCCTCCTCTAAACGACGTCGAGGACGTGTGGCCCTCTTTTGAGCCGACCAGGCTCTGGTGCAACAGAAGCAGGCCGCCGACCACGAAACACTCCTAAGGCGGGACTAAAATGATACCGAAATCGCCCACAAGTTTCACCACCCTCCTTCACCATTTTTCCTTCCACTTTCCCTCCATAGCAATGCTCACCAGTCTCCTTGCGCAACATGGGCGGTGCTTTCAACTTATTCTTCCTCGATCAATTAAAAAAAATGCCAACACATTGGGTAGCTCCATATTCTAGCAAAGGAAATTCCACATTCCTCTTCTCAAATTACAAGCATCGCAAGAGGCGCATAATGGATGTAAACCTTCCCAACCAGTTGTTTCCCCTTTTTGCCCAACGTTAACACCAACCGATCAATCGGCGCCAAGTCGACTTGTAGACATTTGGGCAAACAGCAAAGCACTTCACTTTCCGCATTGTAGATCACTGCAGTAAGCCAGTGCTCCTGTTTTGCAGCAACGGATGCCAAACCCTCGTGAACACGAAAGCCACGACCTTGACGGCGTTGGAGGCGCAACCAATCACTGCGAAGTTGTGCTTTTTGTGTTCATTCCTTCAACCATCATTCTGATTCACATTTTAGTCTTTTTGTATGATAGGATTACTTTGTTTCTGTCCCTACCTTGGGTTATTTAAGTGTAAGTCGTCTATATTTTGTCACCATCTTCCACAATTTTGAAGTGTACTACAGTTTATCTGCCTAAACAAACCGTTTGCCAATCGAAGCCTGTTAGTGGTGAGCACTGGAACAAATGCCAAGTGTATGAGCTGCCTTGGGAGGTGAGAGGCAGGACTTCAATTCGATCGGTGTTCTGGAGGAGGATGAAGATGACGCGTAGGAACCAGAATGGCACGTTTGATCTCCCATTCTTGCTTTCGCCGTCCGACTCGATGATTCCTCCTATGCATACATACTGCAAGGAGGATGAGAAAGAGAAGAAGAAGAAGAAGAAGAAGGGATTAAGTCTTGACTCGATGCAAGGCGACACCACATCGGGTGGTCACATAAACAACGTACTACACTGCCTCTCTCCTTTTTGCGTCGACATACTAGGCGCTCCCCTCGGTACACCTCACGCGCCATCCATCACAACACTGTCGGTGCTACAGGGAAACATTTGCGTGCCAGCCGCACCAGTCGCCTACTGCCATGAGAGTGGAGAATTTCGCTTGACCTATACAGCAGCTTCAAGCAGATCTGGTGGTATGTTGCATCTAAGAGGAGGAATCAGCGCCGCATACATCTTTTGACCATTAATTAGGTCCAGTTGCAGAAGTTTTAGCAATAGTCTAAAGCAGATGTTTAACAGGGAAGACGTGATGAGACGCAGTGCCCTGCGGTAGACGATCCAAGGTACTACTGTTTCCCGCACCTATACGCGAATGCAGTGAGGCGACCTCGGAAGCTAAACTCTTCTCGATGGTTCACGTCAGTGACGCTTCAACTCCTAACACTTTGTTTGTTGACAGCGTTGACAAGACGGAGTCAAACATGGACACTATTTTTAGCATTACGTTGTGGGAAAATCTAGGTGATCGTCGCCTCAAGCCTACGCATTCCCTTCGTTGCATCCACATGCGTCACACGCGATGGACACGGAGAGAGGAGTCTTTAAAACGTCGAGTTTGCTTTCTTCTGCCACCAGTGCAGCACTCCGACACTTCCCTCTGGCTCGAAGAAGGCACTACATTGGACTTGGCTCGAAGCACACTTCAAGCATGCAAGGGCAAGACGAACACCAATGTAACCACCAGACATACAAACAAAATGTTGCGGTAAATTTGGCTTGCTGAAGCCTTTCTTTTTCGAGAGGCTTTTACCTTGCGGAGTGTCTGGTCCTCCTTCCTCAGTACTGTCCTCGCTTCACTACGCCCACTTCTGTGCTCCTTTCGTGCACCTCCATGCATAATCGAAGTTGATGTGTTGTGACTTTATTGTCTTTCCTTTCTCTCGCCATTCCGTGGTGCCGTTTCAATGTGACTTTATTTCGAGTCAGTTTGCTAGTGATGCTGCTTTTCGGTAAGTAGAGTCCACGCCTTTGAGCAGAAGCCCAACTTCACCAAGTAGTAACGATTTCCTCACTCTAACAACAATTTGTTGTTTTGCATTTTCGCACACACGTAACCGTTCCGGCAACCTGCAAAGAATGCCTAGAAATGGCTGCTGCTGCTGCTGCTGATGATGATGAGTGAGAACGCTGTCCTGTCAACTACTTCTGTGCCTTCCGTTCTCTTCAACAAAAAGTTTACAAAGGTTGTGGTGGTAGACCACGACTGGAGCACGCGGACTGCAAGAATGCAGTGGAGACTTGTGTTCTGGTGAGCACGGAAGTACCGAAGCCGAATGGCATTGAAAGGCAATATCGTTGCCATTGTCATCGGCGTGGACGCAGCAGGTAGGAAGGCAGTGGCGACCAAATGGCAGCGATGTCTTTGCCGATTCGCGTCGAGCTAGTCGTGCTTTTGTTATGAGGTAAATGGGCTGCGACAATGGGAGCTATAAGTCTGTCACTAAGTTCGGCATCGTCGTGTCAGACTTGTCGAGGAATAATCACTCCCATGAACGGAACTACCAGTGAATGAAGACTCATTGAATTGCGGCAGCATTTAATTGCATCAGTCCTCATCTCAAAATGCCAGCAACTTTGAGCAGGTGACTTCTGCACAATGCAGCGGCAGTAACACATCGGCAATTCGTGTGTGATGGAAGAAATAGTGAGAAAGCTTAAGTCATTCACAGGCTGTGGAGGAAGTGAATGCAACTTCGAAGGTGTGAGTTAAAGGGGACACCGTGCTTCAAAGGGCCGAGAGGAAGCACCGCAGCCCACCGCTGGCACTAGACGATGATATAAGGGGTTGGCGGAATAAATCGACCGTCTACTTTCACTTGTTTACTGTGGGACTTGGAGAACACGAGTGTGAAGCATTAAAAGATTCCAAGTTGGCTTGCCATGAAGTTATGTTCTTTGGGGGAATGCGTTTGATACAGACTACAGTAGGAATGAGCTTTTCGGTGTTTGCCGCCTTTCTCCTTCAGCAGAAGAAGGGAGAGACAGTGGAGTAACACAGAAGTGCAAAGGAGGCATTTGAGGTGTTGGGTGAGGTCGACTCTCATTTGCAATAGTTTCGCTGCCAACATTCCCCCCACTCCGATGTAGCGATCAGTCACAACCGCAATTTTGCGCAGCGTTCTTCATTCAGGGAAAGTCTACAGCTGTCGAGAAAGTGTTGATAATGGATGCACTTGGAGCTACTTGCTGAAGTTTCCAAATGAGCGAGTTGAGAGGCTCCGGAACGCAGTAAGTGGCGGCGTAGGATTTTGTGAAGTGCAGTACAACTAACGTGAGTGGGTCCAAAGTGCAAACAATGGCAAAGGGACGATTGTCAATGCCTTCCTCTGCTGGCAGGACTTGCAGATGGAGCACACCTAAATTGCGGCCAAGTCGTCTTGGTGGCAATTAGTTTTGCTGATGAAAGTGTTAAGACAACTGCAACTGACAGCGAGACGCAAAGTGTCCTACGACGGTGATGCACAAACGGGGACGACAAAACAGAGCACACACAACTGCTTCAACTTTCGTACTGTTGTGGAGTCAGTAAATATGAGGCGATTCCAAGCATATCTCCCACAATATACATCTCCACCACCACCACCTGCCGCTCCGCTTTGTGCTGATAGAATTCACAAGACTCGTCTTCCCACTGAGCGCTACAGAAGTCGGCGGCAGACCTCCCTCTCCTCCCAGCTGTAGCTCCGATGCCACGAAACGAAGCAACCTCAACTAAGCGATGAACTGCGTCACTTCGCCACGCAGACGTCTTTGGAGTTCGTGTCAGGCTTG